ATTATGTTGGGGGTGTACGAATGAGAAGGCCTCGACATGTGGGTGAGGCCCAGTAAGAGACATGAAGTCCAAATAGTCTGAGAAAAGCTAGACTCCGGAGTGGGCATGATTGGCGCCCATGGGTTTAGATCGGAATAACAAGTTGACCTGAACACCCGGAATGGTAGTACTTGCGCGTTAGGCGCCTAGGGTGAGTTGTGCGCACCTAGGGAGGGCGCCCGAAATCACCATCGGAGCGGGCGCCCGGGATTACTCATTAAATGCAAGGGTGACGTGGGAATTCGTACAGGAAGGTCCAGGTAAGCAATGATCGGCTATAAATAGCGAGGTTGGTAAGCATTTACTCAATTTGGCTTCTCTCACTAAAATCGTGCATTGTAAGCACTTCTCTCACTAAGAAAGATCCTGACTTGAGCGTTGGAGGACTAACGGGCCACAAGGCCCGCCTCTGTGAGTGCAGGTTCATTCGTGAGGGATTCGGCTGGTACGGAAGGGAAGTTGGAAGATCAAGCGGGCTTCAACAATTGGCGCGCCAGGTAGGGGTCGAACACAACCAAGGGCGCGTCTTAGCTCCAATGGAAGAGGGCGGAAGTGAGATGGAGGAGCAAGTCATGGGGGAGGCGTTTCAAGAAGCAGGAGGACGAACGCCTAGGATGGGGGAGGATGAGGGAAGTGAAGGCCCGCGCCCGGGTTCAGATGGAGCCTCGGTGACTAAGAAGGAACTGTTTAAGATCATAGCCGATCAGGACGAGGCCATAGGAATATTGAGGAGAGAGGTGGAAATGCTGAAAGAGGGCGCCCCAAGTCCCGGAGCAAGAAAGAGGGAGCGTACGATGGAGGCTGAAGGGGAGTCCAGCTCACTGAGACGCCTTGCCAGCATGAGGCGCCTGGCCGATTATGGAGATTCCGAGGGAGAGAGGAACGTGTGGATGCCGGGGCGCCCGCATCGACAGTTTGTGGTAAGGCAGCCTTTGGCCCGGAGCGTGCTCATGGAGCCCGCTAGTACCAACATTCCACCGCTTCCCACCTATGATGGTACGGCGGACCCGGACGACCACCTCAACAGCTACTTCACCAAAATGCAGCTGTACAACAGTTCAGACGCAACTTTATGCAAGGTGTTCCCCTCAACATTCTCAGGCGTGGTACTAGATTGGTACCATCAGATTGAGGAAGGGCGCATAGAATGCTTTGAGCAATTTGCGGCGATGTTCCTGGCAAAGTTCGCTAGTAGAAAGAGGCGCACACTGACCTTGGGCTCCCTGTTCAAGATCAAGCAGAAGGAGGGGGAAACTTTGAGGGAGTTCTATGAGCGGTGGATCCCGGTGGCCATGGCGGTAAGGGACGTGCAACCCCCGGTGCTTGGGGTCCTCCTTGAGGAGTGCACCACCAGTGAGGAGCTTTGTCGGGCGCTAGCTAAAAGGGATGTAGTGTCTACGGAAGATTTGGATCGAAGGGTGCAGAAAGTTATAGTGTTGGAGGAGGCGCTAGCATCAAGACGGGCCGACAGGCGCCGCCCTAGAGGGGAGGAAGGAGAGGGACGAAGGCATGCGCCCGAGTCTAGGCCTTTCTATGGAGGAGCATCGGTCACACCGGTGCGGAGGAGTGATCAGGGGCGCCCGACGCCTAAGGTGAATCAATTCACGGAGCTTAACGATTCGCCGAAGAACGTGTTGCAATATGTGAAGGATAAGGGGTACCACGTGAGATGGCCAGGGCCTATGAGGGGACAACCCAACCCACATAATCTGGACCGATTTTGCGACTTCCATCGAGAACGGGGGCACAATACAGTTGACTGTTACCAGTTGAAGACTGAATTGCAAGGATTGGTGGACAAGGGCATGCTTAACGAGTTCGTCAAAAAACCAGAAGAGAGGGTGCATAGGGCATATATGGCCCGAACGGGCCCAAGGAGGATCTCCCTCCGCCTCCATTCGAGCTGGATCAGGAAAAGGCGCCTGAAAAGGTGAGGCTTATGGTGGACGCGATCACTGGCACCGAGGATTTGAGAGATAAATTGGAAGCTAGCAGGCGCCTAAGAGCAGCATCGGTTGAACGACACGAGGGGGTGTGCATTAGTTTCAACCAGGTGCTTGATGAAGCTTATGGGGTACCTTCCTTAGAGGCCCTGGAAATCCAAGGAATAGTGGCGGGGTGCATGGTGAAGAGGATGCTCGTGGATATGGGGAGTTCCATGGACGTGCTGTTCAAGGATACTGCAGCGCGCATGCACTTGTCTCCTGACTTAATACGACCTTCGGACTCGATGCTCGTCGGGTTCTCAGGGGCGCCCGCGAAGGTAATCGGGCGCGTGCGCCTCCCTGTTACTTTGGGTGATGAAGAGCAGCGGGTCACCCATGCTATCGATTTTGGGATTGTGGACTGCCCCTCCCCTTACAATGCAATACTTGGCAGGCCCCTTTTGGCCTTGTTCAATGGGGTAGCGTCCACTTGTCATCAGACGTTGAAGTTCATAGCGCCAAAGGGAGTGGGCATCGCAAGAGGAAGAGGCGCCCCCATTTATACGATGCTTAAGAGCGTGCGGCCGCGTAAGAGTCAAAGGATCAACACGATTACTTCCGAAGAGGCGCCTAGAGCGGAGGCGGCCGACGAAGAATTGCTGATCCCCTTGGATGAGGGGCGACCGGAAAGGCAAATCAGGATTTCGGTCCAGGCGCCTCCCGAAATGGTCGAGAAACTGGTCGCTCTGTTGAAGGAGTTCGCGGAGTTGTTCGCGTGGAGTGCTAAAGAAATGCCCGGGGTAGCGCCCGAGACAGCTGTGCATAAGTTGGCAAGGGAGGAAGGGAGGAAGCCGGTTCAGCAGAAGAGAAGGAACCTTTCCCAAGAGAAGGAGGCCATGCTTAGGGTGGAAGTGGATAGGCTCCTAGACGCCGGGTTTGTCGATGAGGCAACCTATGTCACGTGGTTATCCAATGTGGTGTTTTTCCCCAAGCCAGCAGGAGACTGGAGGATGTGTGTGGATTTCACGAGTCTCAACAGGGCGTGTCCGACGGACGCATACCCGATGCCCCGCATAGACCTGCTAGTGGACGCCACAGCTTATCATGAGATGCTCAGTTTCCTCGACATGTTTTCCGGGTACCATCAGATCCCCATGGCTGAAGAAGATCGGGTGAAGACCGCCTTCATGACGCCCTTCGGGAACTTTTGCTATAGGGTCATGGCATTTGGACTGAAGAATGCGGGCGCCACATATCAACGCATGGTGAATACGGTCTTCCAACGGCAGATTGGGAGGAACGTGGAGGCATATGTAGACGATTTGATAGTCAAGAGTCGCAAACGGGGAGATCACTTAGGTGATTTAAGGGAGACCTTTGAAACCATGCGCCTTCACAATCTTCGGCTCAACCCCCTGAAGTGCGTTTTCGGCACGGAGGCAGGCAAGTTTTTAGGCTTCATGATCACCAAGAGAGGGATTGAAGCAAACCCGAAGCAAGTGGAGGCCATCATCAAACTCGCACCGCCGAGGACGCCTAAGGAAGTACAAGGCCTAGCGGGGCGACTCGCAGCCCTGGGGCGCTTCATACCAAGGTCGGCCGACAAGGCGGCCCCCTTCTTCAGGATCCTAAAGAAGGCGGTTCGTTTCCAATGGGACGAGGCGTGTGACGAGGCGTTTGAAGACCTGAAGCGCCTACTGGCGGCGCCCACGGTCATGACGGCACCCAAGGCCGGGGAGGTCCTTTATTTATACATTGCGGTCTCGGACGTGGCGGTTAGCGCGGTACTAGTGTCAAAAGAGGCGCCTACGGGGGAAGAGAGGCCGGTGTACTATGTGAGTAAGACGATGGGCCCACATGAGAAACGGTATGCGCCTATTGAAAAGGCCGCCTTGGCAGTCGTGACCGCCGCTACCAAGTTACGCCCCTATTTCCAGGCGCATGCTATCGTTGTGCTCACCAATTTACCTCTCAAGTCTACACTGGGCTCCATGGACGTGGCTGGGCGTCTTGTTAAATGGGCCGTTCAGCTAAGCGAGTTCGACATCCGGTACGCGCCTCGACCGGCCATCAAAGCACAAGTGATTGCCGATTTTATGGCGGAGGGAATAGTGGAGACTGAAGGGGTCGACCAGGAGACGTGGCAAGTTCAAGTAGATGGGGCGGCGAGCCGCGTGGGCGCCGGGGCAGGAATAGTAATTATTAGCCCAAGCGGAGTCATGCATGAGATTGCTCTACGGTTCTCAGAACTTAAGACCAACAACGCGGCTGAGTATGCAGCGGTCGTGGCAGGACTCCGCATGGCACGAGAGTTGGGCGCCCAACACGTTAGTGTCAAATCCGATTCGGCCCTTGTGGTCAACCAGCTCAATGGGGCGTTCGACGTGAAAGAGGAAGCCTTAGAAGCCTATGTCCAAGCAGTCAGAAGGGAAGGCGCCTGGTTCAGGGAGCTAGACTTCGTGCACATCCCAAGAGAAGAAAACGCCCATGCCGATGCACTATCCAAGTTGGCCACGGCTTTAGACTTCACTGAGGATAGGAAAGTTATTGTCACGAAGGAGGTCCCCCAGGAATACGTGGTAGCAACCGTGGGGGGTTCTATGGAAACGGACGGATGGATGGTGCCCATCTTGGGATACCTGACGGCCGGTACAGTCCCAGAGGACCCAAAGGAGGCATGGAGGCTTAGGCGCAAGGCGGCTCGGTGCTCCATAACCGAGGGGCGCCTGTACAAGAGATCCCATTCAGGAACATATCTAAGGTGTTTAAGTAAGGAGGAAGCTCAGGCGGCGCTGGAAGAAGTCCACAGCGGTACTTGCGGAATGCATGCTGGTAGGAATGGCAAAACTGGCCCGGCCCGACGGGTTTGGCCCGGCCCATCCCGTTTTGGGCCAGGTCCTACCCGACCCGTTGTTGAACGGGGCGGGTCTTGCCCCGACCTGCTGCAGGCCAGGTCAGGCATGGGTATCGTGGTCAGCCCGACCTGTCCCCGCCCCGCCCCGCATCTTTCAGATAGGACCTGAATCCTCCGTTCACCATCAGAGTCTCGTCTCCCTACTCCTCAGTACCCCCAGCCGTCTCCTCGACTTCTCACCCCCACGCTGGCCTCTCCCATTTCAGAAATCGCAATTCATCCCGTCTCCTCGTCTTCTGTTCTCCATCAATCTAACTTTCAATTCCAAGACAAGAGAGATTTATTAGGGTTAAATAGAGGAACGGAAGATGAATCTTTTAGTTCTCCATCTCTTTTTCTCCATAGCTCCAAACCGAATGATCCAGCGACCATCATCAATCAACACCTCCTCCTGCTGCCACCAAATCAAGCAATCGATCGATTCAACTATTGGTCGATTCATCCAAGGTAATAATCGACTCCATTGCAGGCAGCTCTAGCTCTCTTCGCCAAAATTCAACTAGCTGGTGGTGCATACTGTGGTGCCTAACTTCTGTCTTTTAACCCAGATGCAGAACTGTTCCCAACAAAATAAAATTGATGGATTTTGCTGGAAAGTTGCAGACTTCTTCTAGAATCTTTTGTTGAATTGTTCTTAGTCCAATGGGGTTACTTCTTCCTTTAGATTGACCACTAGATTTACGTGAAAATTTCTTTGTGGATTTGATAGCTTGTTTGCCCTTTTATCAACGTGAAAGAATCAATATATTATAATAGGTATATGGATGCTTAAGCTATCTGCTTGCTTGCCCTGTATTTTAGGATTTCTCTTTTATATACGGTTTCTTTGCTTCTTTCTTTCAGCTCTTTTTTATTCTATTGAATGGTTGTTGGCTTGTTGCTGCAATGTTCTTATACTATATTGTTCTTATGTAGGCTTTTCCATCAATGGATCAAGAAAACTGTGTCTTGAATCATAATGCAAATGATGCTTCTCCCATTCAACCTAGCCCCAACTCCAATGCTGCACCAGAAGACACACCTGTTGCAGTTGACACTCAGGTTCAAAATGAGCCTGGAAATGGAGTCAACAACAATGGTGGTGGTGAGCAGGGCACTGATGCCAAAGGTGGTAATGAAGGAAAATTGTATTCTAAATGGTGGGCTCATTTCACCAAAGTAGAAGTTAACAAGAAAAAGAAGGCTCAATGCAAATATTGCAATCGGTTAGTTCTTGGAGATCCGAAGCAAGGGACAAGCCATCTTAAGAAGCATTATGAAAGATGTCCCAAATGCAAGGTTACAGTGGATATAAGACAACAACTCTTACAAGGCAATTTCAGCAAGGAGAAATTCCAACTCTCCCCATTCAATTTTGATCAGCAGAACTCTCGCAACGAGCTTGCAAAGGCTATTATAAAACACGAGTATTCGCTGTCTATGGTTGATCATGAAGGCTTTAGGAGCTTTGTTACAAGTTTGAATCCATTATTCAAGATGGTCTGTAGAAACACCATCAGGAAAGACTGCATCAACATTTATGATCTTGAAAGAGATGCCGCTATGCAACTTGTGGACAGTAATGAAGGTCGTGTGGCTGTTACAACTGATATGTGGACGTCAAGTTCTCAAAAGAAGGGATTCATGGTCATCACAGCTCATTAAATTGACAATGATTGGAAGCTACAAAGTCGAGTCATTAGGTACTATATTATGGTTTGCTGTGAGTTCATTAGTTATTAGTTAAGAGTTATTAGTTGCTGTGAAACTTTATACATGCCATGAAAAATTATAAAACTATTAGTTAAACTTCATACCTACTGTGAAACTTTAGAAAACTGGTCAAACTGATTATTTTACTTAATTCTAAAACTTATGCAGGTTCATTTACGTGCCAGCACCACATACCAGCGATGTATTGTGCGAAGAGTTATTTAATTGTTTGACGGAGTGGAATATCGACACCAAATTATCTGCCATAACAGTTGATAATTGCTCCACCAACGATGCAATGATCTCCCTATTGTCGGAGAAACTTCCAGTGGAGTCTCTTTTACTTGGAGGTATGATGATTCATGTTCGATGTTCAGCACATATCCTTAACTTGATTGTGAGAGAAGGGCTGAAAGTTATTGGAGGGGCCATTGAAAAAATTCGAAAAAGCGTCCACTTTTGGTTGGGAACGCCAAAAAGGTGGGAGAAGTTCCAGCAAACAGCTAATCAAATGAAAATGAAAATCGGTAAGAAGCTTATTCTTGACTGTGAGACTCGTTGGAATTCAACTTACATGATGCTGGATATTGCAAAGAAGTATAAAGATGTTTTTGCTAAGCTGAAGAATCGTGATCCGTTGTATAAATGTGTGCCAAGTGAATCTGAGTGGAACATGACTGAAGTGATCTGTGATAAACTAAAAATATTTTATCAGGCAACTCTAGTGTTTTCTGGCACAAAGTATCCTACTGCCAACTTATTCTTTCCTATCATTTGTGAGATTAAATTGGCTTTGAAACAATGGGCTGATTGTGGTATCGACATTATTGAGTCAATGTCCTTAGAAATGATAGAGAAATATGATAAGTACTGGTCAGAGGTGCATTTGGTGATGGGGGTAGCCGTTGTTCTTGATCCAAGATACAAGGCTGAGGTATTTCAGTGCTACTTTCCTAAAATTTATCTAGAGAACAGTAAATTTGAGAGAGACAAGATAGTTGGGTTGTGCCGTCAGCTGTTAGTGGAATACGAGCAGAAAGACAGGGAAGAGGAACAAGTGAATAATGATAAGGGCAATGTGGAAGCAGCTGCAAGCAGTCAGACATCATTTGCTCTTACATTTGATACTTATGCTTCTCAAAAGAAAAGGAAACAGCCCGAGAGATCAGAGCTGGATGCTTATTTGGATAAAGATATTGTACGAAATGGGGCTGATTTAGATGTCTTGGCTTGGTGGAAATCAAACATGGGGAAATATCCTATCTTGCATAAGGTTGCAAGAGATTTTCTATGTATTCCGGTGTCAACTGTTGCTTCAGAGTCTGCTTTCAGCACAAGTGGAAGGGTTATTAGTCCTCATCGTAGTAGGCTTAGTCCGCAGACCATAGAAGCTCTAATGTGTGCGCAAAATTGGCTATTTGCCAAATCAACAGGTAGCATTTTCTTAATTATTATCATTTTTCATTAAAGGTTAAATTTATGCATTTAACACTCTTATTATTCTGATGTAGAAGTAGGTCCTCAATCAAAAGACCACTCAGATTCAGAGGAAGAGTTGGAGCCTGGAGGGCAGAATTGAGGTAAAGGAAAAAATCCAGCTTTATAACTAATTCAACACATTTCAGACCTGCTTCTCAGAGTGATTTTGTGCTGATTTGGCCTTCTTATTATCTGATTGCAGTTGTAGCAATAGTGATCAGTGACGTAACTTCTCGGAAACATAAAGATGTGGCTTGGAAGGGTGGAGCTCTTGAGGAACCATTGAACTCAAGTTTGAGGAAAGTGTTGCAGACTTACAGTGGTGATTTCAGCATACACCAGCAGTGATATTTGCCTTGTGCCTTTTCTTTTTTGTTTGATTATGAACAAGTACTAATCCAAAGTATTTCTATACTTTTGGATTTCAAAGGGAGACGTTTGATTTGTGGTTTGAGATTTTGAACTCTGCACTATGACGATGATGGTTACCAGATTATTATTAGCTTGCTTTGAATTGTTATTTAATCTTCAATTAGGCTGTCAGCTTTGTTTGCTACGTTGTACGGTGATATACAGGAAATGGCTATGGCAGGGCAGGTCGGGTAAAACCCGCCCCGTGCAGGCCAGGTCATGGGCCGAAAATTAGAAACCCGTGGCAGGGCGTGGGCCAGGTCGGGGCAAATGTACAAATCACGGGGCGGGCCCGGGTACCATGGTACCCGGCCTGTTCTGGACCCATTGCCATTCCTACATGCTGGCGCTCGTAGCTTGGAGAAAACGTTGCTTCGTCAGGGGTACTATTGGCCAACAATGCGAAAAGATGCCAAGGCCCACACGGGCGCCTGTCACCAGTGCCAGGTCCATGCCAACGACATTCATATACCCGCTGCCCCAATGCAGGGTAACACGGGCGCCTGGCCTTTTGCTCAGTGGGGTATGGACCTTCTAGGTCCTTTTCCAAAGGCACCTGGACAGCTGAAGTATTTAATTGTCGCCATTGACTACTTTTCGAAATGGGTGGAGACAGAACCCTTGGCGACCATTACGGAAGCACAAGTGCGCAAGTTTACAAGAAAGAACATTTTCACTCGCTTTGGGCTGCCGGAGTCTATTGTCACTGATCATGGCAAGCAATTCGATTGCAAACAGTTTGTTGAGTTTTGTGATGCGCATGGGGTGGTCCTTAGGTTCTCATCTGTTGCGTACCCACAAGCAAATGGGCAAGCTGAGGCGGCTAACAAGAGCATCCTACACGGGTTGCACACTAGGCTTCTAGGCGCCAAGGGGCGTTGGGTGGAAGAATTGCCAAGTGTTCCCTGGGCTCACCGCACGACGTTCAAGGTAGCCACTGGTGAGACGCCCTTTGCGTTAACATATGGGAGTGAGGCGGTGATCCCGGTTGAGATTAATATTCCAAGTTTCCGGGTGGCGAATTATGAGCCAGGCCGCAATGAAGAAAACAGGGTGGCGGAATTGGACCTCTCCGATGAGCGACGTGAGGTGGCGTCTGTGCGCCTGGAAGAAATGAAGAGGCAGGTGGCTCGATACTATAACAGAAAGATGCGCCATCATGGCATCTCCATAGGCGCCTTGGTTCTCAAGAGAGATTTCAGGCCCTGTGCGCAAGAGGGAAAGCTGGCTCCCAAGTGGAAAGGCCCATATCGAGTGAAGGAAGTCATCGGAGCGGCTACGTTTAAGTTGGAACATCTGAATGGAAAGCCGGTGAAGAGAACATGGAACGCGCAGAACTTGCGTGCGTATTGCGCCCAACTGAGGGGCAAGGAGGCTGCAGTATGAGAAGCAAAAGGGGAACACCTATGGGAGTAAGTTTGTAGTGCTGTGTAACCAAAAGCGCTTGTTGTGTTCAGCGCCTCGTGTCATGTAATCAAGGCGCTCATCGTGTTAAAGCGCCTCTGTTTGTGTTAATGAAAAAATTCCCTCGAATGATTCCCTCTCCACTAATGCGCCCACGAAGGAAATGCGCCCACGATCGTAAAGCACCCGTAAATGTGCCCGGAACGAATGCGCCCGTCAGAATTTGCGCCCACTTAGTAAAGCACCCATACATGTGCCCAAAATTCGAAAAGCGCCCATAAATACGCGCCCATGAAAGTAAAGCGCCCAATTAGAAAACGCGCCCGAGGAGGAACTTGGAAAATGCTCGCGAAAGGTACTAGAAACAATGACTGCAATCGAGTAATGCGCCCTAAAAGATAATGCGCCCTAAAAAGAGTGGGCAACACAACAAACGTCCCAAAAAGAGTTGAAAGTCGACAAGGCATGAAGGGCATGTGCCCAAGCAAAAGTTTATGAAAAAGCATCCAAAGAAAACAATAATACATGCCACAAAAGAGGTGTGCCCTCACTACTCGGCCTCCGAAGAATCTCCCATAGTCGAATCACTCTCTTGTGGCGAAGGCGCCCCACCCTCTCCCACAGGCGCCGACTCATCCTCAGCCGCCTCCTCTTGCATCTCCTCAATAACAAGAGATTTTTCCAGAAATAGCACTGTTTAAAAAAAAAATCCAAAAATAGCACCCAACTCCGAAAAATTCCAAAAATAGCACCATTTTTGTAAAACCGCAACCCGAAGGTGCGTTTTTCGATGAAAACGCCACCCGAGGGCGCGTTTTTCGATGAAAACCGCACTGGTAGGGAGCGGTTTTGCAAACCGCACCCCCAGGGTGCGATCTGCTTTTTTGTTTTTTTTTTTTTTGAAAAATCCTAACTTAGGTGGAAACTTCAAAAGAACGTATCTTTATGTTCAGGTATCCGATCGTCGCGAATTTTTTTTTTATTCCGCATTATTTTTCGAGATCTTGCAAGCCGCAAACCGCCCCGCCTTCGTCCCGAAAAAACGTCGTTTGCTACCCCGAACGAGCCTTTTTTCGATTTCGTCAAACTTTGAACGACCATAACTTTGTGCTCCACAATCCGAAAATCATGAACTTTTTTTTTATTTTGCATAACTTTTTGAGGACTACAATTTTTTCTAGGAGAGAATTTTCAAAAAATGAATTATTTTGGATATACGGGGTTTTGGGAATAAGTTTACCTTTCTTTTTAGGAATCCAAGTACATTCCAAAATTATGTCTATGATAAAAAATTTAGTCCTCAAAAAGTTATGCAAAATCAAAAAAAAATCATGATTTTCGGATTGTGGAGCACAAAGTTATGGTCGTTCAAAGTTTGACGAAATCGAAAAAAGGCTCGTTCGGGGTAGCAAACGACGTTTTTTCGGGACGAAGGCGGGGCGGTTTGCGGCTTGCAAGATCTCGAAAAATAATGCGGAATAAAAAAAAAATTCGCGACGATCGGATACCTGAACATAAAGATACGTTCTTTTGAAGTTTCCACCTAAGTTAGGATTTTTCAAAAAAAAAAAAAACAAAAAAGCAGATCGCACCCTGGGGGTGCGGTTTGCAAAACCGCTCCCTACCAGTGCGGTTTTCATCGAAAAACGCGCCCTCGGGTGGCGTTTTCATCGAAAAACGCACCTTCGGGTGGCGGTTTATACAAAAATGGTGCTATTTTTGGAATTTTTCGGAGTTGGGTGCTATTTTTGGAATTTTTTTTTTAAACAGTGCTATTTCTGGAAAAATCTCCAATAACAAAGTTCACGAGGTCAGGAAAGTTGATGGTGATGTCGGGGTACTCCTGGTCGAGCTTCCTCTTGACGAGCACCAAACTGTCTAGGGACGCCTTGGCAATCAGGTCTTGCCCCGCCTCAGAAGTGGGAAAATTCTTAAGAGACGCCTTGAGAGACCTCTTTTCCTCCCGCTCACTCCTAAGCGCCTTCTTGTAATCTCGGCGGCGATAGGCCGCCGCCTTTACCTCGTCCTGGAGAGCGCCTTTCTCCTCCTTCAAGGCAGCAAGCTCGACATTGCGGGCGCCCAGCTCTTGGGTGAGGGCCTCCTTTTCCGCAGCCAAGGCGCCCAGCTTTTGCTCAAAGTCTCGGCGCTCTTCTTCCATGCGGGTCGCGAAGTCGGCGTCCCGTTGGCGGCGCTCCTCCTCCAATGTGCTTTGAAGGGTCGAAATTTGCCTTGCCGCCTCCAGTTGCGCCTCCTCGCACTCTTTCACAAGTTCCTCGCGGCGCATTGTAACGGTGTCAAGGTTGTCCTTCATGGAAGACAAGGACGCCCGGGCCTCGCGACACTCCTCAATCGCAATGTCTGTCTTCCGGGCGCCTGCCTCAGCAAGAAGGAGCATCTGCACAAATATAAGACGCCCAAGTGAACAATGTGTGTGGTAAAAAAAAAACGGAAATGGGAAATGGGAAATGTGCAAGTCAAACAAAGGCGCGCATGAGCAAACCTTGGCTCCCGTTCGGGCGACTTCAGCCCATGGATGATCCTCCGAGATCGAGGAGGGCACCTGTAGAAGTTTAGCGGCTGAAAGAGCCAGGCCCATGGCGCATCCACGATCCACTGCCGCTCGTGGGGAACAAGACAAGGCAACACGCCCCATCTCGGTGCGCCTGGGCTGAAACATGGGGGGCCTCCCATCGGGCCCCAGCAGGCGCCCTTCCACGATAGCATATCATGGGGAGTGGGTCTCGCCCTAACTTGCGGCGCCTCTTTCTCCCTCGGCTCTATGACGCTTTGCTGGTGGAGTCAGTTGGGCGCCTGCCCTCTTCCCTCGACTGATCAAGGGCACTTCATCCTCTTCATCGTCCATGTCCTCGACCACAACGTGGTCTTCACGACCATCCTCGCCTGATGGTGTGGACGCCTCGCTGGAGGCCCTAGCGATCTTCTCTCCGGGCGCCTTTCCCTTCCCTTTCTCCATAGGCGCCACCAGCGGTTGTGGGGTGGAAACTGAGGCAGGTGAAGACCCCCCAAGGTTGGACCCTCCTTGTTGGGGCTCCTCCAGAGTCATCCTCTCATAACGACTCTTAATCAAGTCAGCAATGCGCCCAAATCTCGTACCTGCAAACAAATCCAAGGGATTAGCTAGGCGCCCAAAAGAGAATGTAAAAAGCATAAACGGCACTCAACACACCATCTGCATAATATTCCTCTAAAATAGGCGCCCGTGCATCAGTGGGGCGCAAGTTTACAGGAGAGGCGCTTTTAGGGCGGCCCCATCTCGCTCTTCTCGGCTTAAGACAACGACAGCATTGAAGCGGGCCTCCGTACCAAGCTCCCAGTCAGTCCTAAAGGCGCCTCCACTTTCAAAGAAGTAATCCTTATGCGCCTTCAAAAAGAAGAACCCGTTGAACCATGTGCGCCCCAATTTAGGGCACTTCGTCACGAAATGGGCGCGCAATTTCTTCCGGCGCTTCAAGGACAGACAGTTGTCCCGGGAAATCACCGAGAAAAAGTGGCGGAATAAGTTAAAGGTTGGGCGCATATGATGAATTCGGCACTTCAGCTTGAAGAGCACAACAATCAGTATCACGGACGGAGACAGGCGCCCGATTGTGCATTCGCAGTACTCCAGGATGCCCTCCAAAATGGGATCAATAGGAAATCGGAGCCCGAACCGGAAATACTCCTGATATATGCCCAACCAACGGGGCCCGCACAACCCTACCCTGGCCATGGGTGATGGAGGCGCATACGTCCAGGTGCGCGGGAGCCCGAGCCCATCGATCAAACTTCTCATCCACGACGCCGAGATGGTGGAGTTATGCTCAGGCCCTGCCACATTGGTCGGCAAACACGTTGTCTCCCAAGGCGCATACTCCGGCGGCCAGGTGCCTTCCCAAGTAGTCATCTTGTACGACCCATCTTCCGGCACGTCATAGTTCGAGGAAGGCGTCGGTATAGGTGACAATGCGGGCGCCTCCACTAAAACAAGTCAAGAAGGCGCACAACCGTTGGAGCAGTAAGAGGCGCCTCCATCGCAACAATACACTAGCATTCACGCAAAAAAAAAAAAAAAAACTTACCGGTTTTTGAGGGGCCGCCTTGATTCTGAGAAGAGCCCGCGGCGGCGGCGGCAGCATCGGAGGGGAGAGACATCGCGGCGAGAACAATCGAACGCTAAAAAAGGAGGGAGGCAAAGCAGAGAGAGAAGCTAGAGTGAGAAGGCAAATCGGGGGAGAATGAAGAACCATGCCGGGGATCAACTTACATTTAAAGAAAACGGAGCGCCTCGAATATCGTGCCGACTGCCACGTGGCTAATTCACAACCGCGCCGTTGGGAATCCCACACCGGCGGTTGTGAAGGGGGGTAGGAGAGAAGGAGAGGCGGCTGGCTCAGAAGGCGCCTTCGACAAATCGAGGAGAGGCGGCGGGAGCACAAGGCGCCTTCGGCAAATCAGGGAGACGAGGGACGACTAGGGCGCACGACGAGAGAGAAAACAGTTAGGCGTTTGTCGTGGGCTCGGGGCGGCTCGGGCGCACAGACAGAGTAGGGGAGATCTTGAATGGCGCGAAATTGATGCGCTCGGAAAACGAAGGGGCTTCTATTTAAAAGCGGCGGATTTTGGGGCGCCCTAAGAAAGAGAAACGAAGCGCTAACTCAAGGCGCCCGAGTGCGATGATAGGGCGCCGACTAAGAAACAAAAGGGTTGGATTGTAGGCGCCTGGAGGAAGGAAAGTGATTATGACCGTGTAGGAGCCCGGAAAAAAGTTAGACGAATAATAACGATGGGGGCACCTGAGTCGGGGGCGCCTATGGCCCGCTAGGGGAGCCTAAGCGTTTTAGTAGGATCGAGACGCCTGTTCTAAAAGGACGCCAATCACGGCAAAGTGGGGGGCAAGCAGCGGCCGCGATGAAAGTTGGAAGAGGAAGAGCGGGTAAAAGCCTAATAGTTAGGCGCTCAAGGAATCCAAAACTTGAGCACCTAACTGGGGGGCAATTGTTGGGGGTGTACGAATGAGAAGGCCTCGACATGTGGGTGAGACCCAGTAAGAGACATGAAGTCCAAATAGTCTGAGAAAAGCTAGACTCCGGAGTGGGCATGATTGGCGCCCATGGGTTTAGATCGGAATAACAAGTTGACCTGAACACCCGGAATGGTAGTACTTGCGCGTTAGGCGCCTAGGGTGAGTTGTGCGCACCTAGGGAGGGCGCCCGAAATCACCATCGGAGCGGGCGCCCGGGATTACTCATTAAATGCAAGGGTGACGTGGGAATTCGTACAGGAAGGTCCAGGTAAGCAATGATCGGCTATAAATAGCGAGGTTGGTAAGCATTTACTCAATTTGGCTTCTCTCACTAAAATCGTGCATTGTAAGCACTTCTCTCACTAAGAAAGATCCTGACTTGAGCGTTGGAGGACTAACGGGCCACAAGGCCCGCCTCTGTGAGTGCAGGTTCATTCGTGAGGGATTCGGCTGGTACGGAAGGGAAGTTGGAAGATCAAGCGGGCTTCAACAGATTAATATAGAATCACTATACTTGTTTGGTTCACCTTTTTGCAAAAATACGATATTTGTCCTAATGTCTTGTATAACTATTTTGCTATTAGATAGTGTGGTGTATGGGTTTTTTCACATAGAATTCTCCCGTTGTCTTTTGTTTTTGTGATGCTCTTTTATTTTATAGTGAATACGAATTCTTACTCATGTCTTGGTTTCCTAAAGCGCCTTAAAGCCTTTTGCAATCCAAATTGCATCCTTAAACTATAAAGCCTCTAAAATGCACGTTCCAATTCCATCCTTCCTCCTCCTCGAGCGGAGTAGCTGTTGTTCCACTTCCAGCTTTCATTCTTGACTTTTCGTCTTCGTCAATCCAACGACTACTAATTAATAAACCACAACTAATCAACGTAGTCAAAAATGAGTTTTTATGTATAAACGTTTTGGTGATCTAGGAACGTAAAATCGTAAGTTTTTAAGTTTTAAAGCGAGTTTTTAACTACATAAGTTATAAAAACTTAGGTTTTGCTTAGAAGCGTCACTACATTGCAACTAACTGCCAATCATGATTTTAGATGAATCGTTACTAACCGCTAACCATGGTTTGAGGTAAGCAGTTAATCGATAATCATTTGCAGTGCCGTCACAATTGACAAATTGTTGAACCCTTCATAATGACTAATGTAATTTCTCATGAATGTATTTTGCTAATCATGATATATTGATATTTAATTTCTTGATTCCTTCTACAAAGTGTTAAACCCTTCGTAATGACTAATGTAGCTTCTAGATATATGTAAGAGATTAATGTAAAATCACTAAACTTTCTTGGTTGCTTCATCTTTTTGCAAAAATATACTATGTCTTAATATCTTGTGCATGTATTTTGCTATTAGATAATGTGTGGTGTATGGGTTTTGGCACATCGAATTCTCCGGTTGTTCGTGGCTACTAAAGCGTCTTTTAAAGCCTTTTGCAATCCAAAGTGCATCCTTAAACTTCAAAGCCTCTAAAATGCACGTCCCAGTCCCATCCTTCCTCCTCCTCGACTCTCCGTCCTCGAGCGGAGCATCTGTTGCTCCACTTCCAGCCTTCATCCTCGACTTTTCGTCCTCGTCAATCCAACGACTACGTACTACAGTTAACCACTACTAACCGCTAATCATGATTTTTGATAAACCGCAAGTATCCACTAACCTTGGTATGCGGTAATTAGTTAACCAATAACCATTTCCAGTGCAATCACGATTGGTGAATTTTTCCTACTAATTAACCGTCTTATTCGATGCGATAAACCGAACCATTTCGCACCCTCATCATCATCAGCAGCATGCTTAATTGTCTCAAAGAATACAATACAGTACTTGCAGCATGATCCAATTAGCCCGACTTAAAACCAAACACAAATCAGTAGTCCATATTAATTAACGTTCCCAAAGGTATATCCTTGATGGAGAACATTGATCTTGCGAAAGTAAATTAGATACTTGTATAGATTTCAGCCGTAGACTCTAAACTGGAATCGACCTAACACAGCATCATACTAATCTAACCTTAAGCTGAGCAATAGCTTCCCATCCCTGCCAGTAGGAAAATAGTCCTTTATGGCCACGCCATCGACATCAAGTGCATCGTAGGTGCCATCCTCGGACGCAAGGGACTTGCCTTCAGTTTTGACGAAGGCGGACAGCTTCCTCGTGAACGCCGGCTCCCATCTGTCTTCAGGATAGAGCTCTCTGAACACCGCAGGAATGCCGCGATAGAGTTTGTCGATCATGTTCCTGCATCGCTTAAGTGCGGTAGCCTTCGCCTCCTTGACCGCATTTTCCAGGTTCAAGCGCCAGCCCTCTCTCTCATTTTCAAGAAAGTCCCGAGCAGCAGAGGCCTCCTCAGCATGGCGCGTCTCCATATCCTTCTGTTTCGTCTCGCAGGCTTCAAGAGCTTTCTTCAGCTCGTCGATCTCCTTTCTGTAAGCGTCGGCCGTCTGAGAAATCTTACGCCGAGCCTCGCGTTCCTCTGTGTGTTGGAGTATCAACTTGTCTGCACGATCCAGTAACTATAAAAGTAGAAACAAGTAAGTGTTTTAAGAGTTATGAGAAACGATGTCATGAAAAGGAATGTGCGTAAGGAAGTAAATTAAGCGGGCATACCAGAAGACAGGCGTCGGCGACGCTGCCGTCGACTTCAGAAGCGGGTATTATCTCCTCCTCATCGGAGAGTGCCGAAACAATAGAGTGCAGCGCACTGACAGCAGCCTGCTTTGACTGACGGGCATCGGCAGGAATCACAACCGACTTCGACCCTACTCGGGCACGAGTGGCTCGCTCAGCTTGAACATCGGAAGCTCGCCGCTTGGTTCCATGATGAGAGGGGGACACATTTCTAGGAGGAGAATCAGAGATCACCGGTGCTGAAGTCGGAGGAGCAGCGCCAGATGAAGCACGTGGAGCCTCGTGCAGGGATGTCCCCGCTGCTGCCGAAACTTTGGGAGCGGGAGAGTGCCGGGAGTCACCTTCGGTGCCTCGAGAGGCCGTGACTGCAGGAAAGAGCATCCGGCGCGACACCATTGCTGTAAAGCAAAAAAAAAACCATCATCAACAAGAAATGAGTTCAAGACAAACGAGAAAGTGCAAGAGCAATAAAACAAAGAAATGACACGCACAGTTATCAAACACCGCCCCCACCAAAGCAAGGCAAATGCGCTCATCCCACAACTCCCATGAAGGCAGCTTCCCTATGGCAGCGATAATCCGTTGCTCATCGCTCGTCAACTCAGGTCGTTCCAGACTACGTCCCAATGCCCAACCGGTAGGAAGCGGCTTGGAATCATCAGTTACCCACTCATCCGGAGGAGGGCGTACAAAGAAGAAATCTCTACACCATGGGGTAAGCTTGGGGGACTTCCGAATGAAACCCTTAATAGCACGATTCTTCAGCAAAGTCAAGGAATTCGGAAGATGGAGGAAGGTGAAAACATAGCAAAAGAGACGTAACGTCGGGGTCGTGCCAACTAGCTCACACGCCAGAGTGAAAGCTGTTGCTTGCGCCCAAAAGGAAGGTGAGAGGCGGCTGACCGTGACTCCAGTCCTGTGAATGAACTCCTTGAGCCAATTCGCCAAAGGAAAGATCATACCGAACTGCACTGACTCGACATATACACCCATCCACCCCTTGGGACAATTGCCGATGGTAACACCATCGCTGGAACAGGCGTAATCCCAATGCGTTGGGAGATGGAGCCCGACGAGCTGAGATGTGAGTGCATCCCTCGAAGTGAGACCACTAAAGATCTTCGGTCCAAGATTCCGCCCTTCGTCTGGAGGGTTATCAGAAGAAGTAAACATGTCCCTCCAAGAAACTATTTTCAAGGAACGACAATGCTCAATGTCCATCCTAGCAGGTGTGGCAACATGGAGGGGAAGCCTGTTGGCACTCTGACTCCCACCCTCTCTGTTACTCGTTCTCGAAACTCCTACCTCCTCCGAAGAGGCCGAACCAGAGTCATCATCACTCGAACTACTAGCTGAAGCTGAGTCTTCCAAAGAACCCCCCACCGAATCATCACCCTCAAATGATTCTTCCTCAGAATCGCTCATTCTGCCAAGCTCTAAGTTGAGAAAAGTACGAATGCCCAACAAAGAGTATCCTGCGCAAAATGAGAGAATGGAAAAGAAGAGTTCACCAATCTCTACAGGGAGAATGAACCCACGATAACACAATGAGTTCAAGGCGCAATGAACGATCAAGAACACATACTGAGTTCATTAGAGAACCGTCCAACAGTAACCCTACACCCTAATACAGAAATGGAACTTTCAAGGGACAATGCACCAGCAAAACAAAACCGGCACTGACCACGCGGAACCACAGTGGACTACCAAGACGACATTGAGAAGTGGAGATGAAGATTGAGCTTTACCCGATAGTCGACAGATTGGAGAGTCCGTCTGTTGGCCTCACCGCAACGGAAGGATTGGGGTTCGGCCGAAAAATTCGACGGAGTGGGAAAGCCAGTCTGTCACACACGAATAGAAGAGGAAGAGAAGGATTGGTTTAAATTGATGAGCGCTCGAAAAGAGGGGGGATTTCGCCATTGGGAAGGGGAGAAGAGAAGGAAGCTTTTTTGCTTTGGAATTTGGACTGTGAAAGAGGAAGGAAGACGAAGCATCGCAGAGGAAGTAATTTGAACTTTTGGCATCAGAATTTTGTGCATGGAGCCCTTTTGCACTTTTTAAAACTTGGTAGGATGTATTGGTAAGAACGTGAAAAGAGTAGGATGTAAGTTGAATTTCCTTTTCGTGCAGTCAAATAATTTTGTTTTATTGCAGGAGAATTTGGAAACTTCAATGTCACTTGTTTTTCTGAATATGTGAATTTTTCTGTCAAGGCTCTTCTTCTTCATCGCCCATTCCATCCCAGTCAACACGGGCAGGGCTAAACCGAGCCAGCCAACCAGCAAGCCCAAACCTTTCTTCCAACCCTCCTCTTCTCTCTCTTTCTCTATCCCGGGGGACGAAGAAGAAGAACCCTAATTTCTGTTTCCCCCAAATCCCTCGACAACTCTACCTTCCTTATCGTCGATAGTCCCAACCAATTCAATCCCAGATCAAGGAGGGGGAAGGGGGAAACAGTAGTGGGGAAAACAATGTCGTCGGAGATCGAAGTAGTGGAGGAGGAGGATGTTCGTCCCGGTGATCACGGGGGAAACAACGGGATTGCGGCTTCTGCCAGCTGCGGCGAGAATGCTGTCGGCGACGAGAGCCTTAGGAACGACGTTTACACCGCGGCCGCGTATGGGGATTTGGAGAAGCTCCAGAGATTAGTGGAGAGTGAGGGTTGCTCCGTCTCCGAGCCCGACGGACTTGGATACTATGCTCTGCAGTGGGCTGCTTTGAATAATCGGACAGCTGCCGCTCAGTACATAATCGAGGTTGGTATAATTGGATTTCCTTTTTTGGGGTTTTGTTGCTTGATGGAATCGTTTGTTTCCTTTCCTTTTCATTTTGATGTTTGGGGTCAGTCTAGAGAATGGTCAATCTAGTTTCAATTTGTGTGTTGTAGCCCTTTTGGAATGGCAGAGTTGAGAGAAGGAATTAGATGGACAGAACTTTCTTGTGCTTATCCTTTTGCATTCTGGAATTAGAAAGTAGGTGGTGTTGGTTGTCTTCTGCTAAGGTGTAGGACACTGAACAATTTTTTTGGACTTGAAAAAGCTCGCTCAATTCATCGATTATACGTGTTCTGAGTAGTATGGAACATTTGATTGTCAGCATGGAGGAGATGTAAATGCAGCAGATCACACGGGTCAGACAGCACTACATTGGAGTGCAGTTCGTGGTGCAATCCAAGTTGCCGAACTTTTACTTCAAGAGGGTGCCCGCGTAAATGCTGCTGATATGTACGGTTATCAGGTTAGTGTTAAATCCATTACTATTTTAGGTGGTAATGATTCTTCGATTGCGATATCTTGTAATGTTTCTGAAAGATAACCGAAGCGGAAAACATGTTTCTGTTAGTTTAGTTTCGCTGAGAAAATGATGTTAGTAAAGGAAATTTCGATCTGCAGCATCATGATATAATCTGTCTAGACCAGTGATTGTAGGATTTTGTTCATGTTGTTAGACGACTAGTGTCCGTGAAGATGAAAACTTGTGTAAATTTGACTTGCTTCCAGACTACACATGTTGCAGCTCAATATGGTCAGACAGCTTTCTTGTATCATGTCGTCTCAAAATGGAATGCGGATCCTGATCTTCCAGATAATGATGGAAGAAGCCCCTTACACTGGTACGGTCAGACATTCATTCACCCCCTTGTCAAATTTGTAGAAGGCTATAAAATCTCCACACCCTGTAATTTGGTTTTACTTGTTTTGAAATTTTGATGCATCCTTGGACCAAGAAATTAATGAACTCCAGACCCTGATACACACTTCTAGGTGGAATCTCGATTCCTCTTCAAGATACAGACTTAGGCTAGTTAGAGCAGCCAATCTTGGTTTATTTATTATCTCCCTTAGTGAACTGAAGCCTTGGTATTTGCTCGTTGTACTAGTCTTATTTGTTACTCATCTGTTGACGTTCGACTTCAATTGTAGGACTTCTTGATTAAATATTCCAATTTGCCAAATTACAATATCTTTTTAATGTTTAGTGTCGTCTCATTTGGTTCATGAATTGAGTAGTTACTGAACCACCATAATGTCTTTACTTTTTTTGGGGAAAATGCAGGGCTGCTTATAAGGGTTTTGCCGATTGTATACGTCTGTTGTTATTTCTGGATGCATACAGGGGACGACAAGATAAAGAGGGTAGTAATGTCAGCTTCATAGATCAGTTTATTTATGACCAGCACTCCCTTTTACATGCTACTGGGGCCATCTTAATGTAGTAACTGGACTAAAATTCTGATTTTACTTAAATTAGGTTGTACACCGCTTCACTGGGCTGCAATTAGGGGTAACTTGGAGGCATGCACAGTGTTGGTACAAGCTGGCAAGAAGGAGGACTTGGTAATCACAGATAACACGGGGCTGACTCCAGCTCAACTTGCTTCTGACAAGAATCACAGACAAGTTGCATTTTTCCTTGTAGGTGTTCCTGCTACAAGTACACCTCCATTATTTGGATACAGATGTTAACTGGATGACATATATCCCCATTTCTCTTTGAATTTTAGATATTTGTGTAAGATGTTACTAGACTTTTCTTAATAGGTTTCTATGGTTACGCTCCCTTCTACTTTCACTTCATCTCCATTTTGGAGTTTCTTAAGAAATTCTGGTAAGAAGCATTAAAATATATTCCTGCCAGTTTTATATCAAAATGACCTGATTCTGCAGGGAAACGCTAGAAGGCTGCTTGATAGACGCTGTGATGGTGCCACCCACTTGGGACGTCTGTCAAAGTTGGGACTTGCTCCTGTGCTTTGGTGTATAATAATTATTCTCCAGATCATCTATATACATTCTGTCATCATGGGTATTCTTCATTACCATTTTTGTCATGAGTTGTTGTACTCCTTTGAGGATTTCAGTTAGCATGCAGTATTTGATGGTTTCTTTTTCCATTTCAGCTCCAAATCTGCCCAAGTTAACAGCTGGCTTTGGCCTATTTGCATGGCTAGGGGTATTTCTTGCAACCAGTGGGCTTGTGATGTTTTACAGGTGTAGCAGGTATGCTTCGGAAGTTCTCATGAAATGGACTCATCTGTAATATCGATTAATGATCTGTTGTGTTATTGAAGTTCCAATGCATGTTAACTAGCCAAAGGATAAGGCATAGAATGACTATAAATGATCGAGATTCTTTGGTTACTCCTTATGTTCTCTTGGCTACCATCTCCCTTATTGTTGCACCTTTAAAAGGTTCTATGTGTTTCCACCACCTTCCATTTGACTGTGTGAGCTGTTATGCTGTTCTGTTCTTGTCCTTGATTGCAGGAAGGATCCTGGTTATATAAGAATGAATGTGCCTGATCCACAAAACATGAAAGATGATGTAAGTTCCATATTTTGTGGATTCTGTATGTCTTGTACTTCATCCACTGCCCTTGCTTCAACAGTCACCACCCCACCTCCGGGAGGGAATGCGAAGGGATAACAAGCAGAAGTCAAATGGAACCTTATTTTGTTTATTGGGCCTAATAGAATAGAGGATTGATGTCAATAGACTTTTAATATGGGTCGTGCATGAATCTTTGGCAGCTCTTACCTTTCTTAGAGTACCAGCATCGTTGGTTTGTTGACTACTGACTTCATGTTATCTGCACAATCCTTTCTACTAGGAACCTCTTTTGAAGATAGAGATAAACAATCCTGCTTTGCTTTCTGGGATTTGGTCTCAGCTTTGCGCAACGTGCAAGGTAGAGTTTTTATCACATGACTTTTAACTTGTCTGATAGAAATATGCCTTATGGTTGAGGCTTAATGGTTCATATTTTTCTCACCTCAATATTATCTTATATACCAGATTGTAAGACCTCTTCGTGCGAAGCACTGTTCCACATGTGATCGTTGTGTCGAACAATTTGACCATCATTGCCCGTGGGTATCAAATTGCATAGGCAAGGTGCGTGACCAACTGACTGTCGTTGCTTCATATTCTCTTTGGAGTCGCAATATCTCTACCCATTTAAGTAAATATGTGGATTCATCAAGCTCATTTATTTCTATGCAGAAAAACAAGTGGGATTTCTTCTTGTTTCTCATTTTGGAAGTCTCCGCAATGCTGATAACTGGTGGCGTGGCTCTCACAAGTATGTGACTTATTCCCCTTCCAAGATTGTAACCCTTGAAGTGCCCTGTTTATCCTTCTTCATTTTCTTCCATTCATGATGGATCTTCTGCACCGATTTCAGGAATTGTTAGTGATCAAACGGCTCCTTCAACATTCGGAGGCTGGTTAAACTATGCAGGCACGCATCACGTTGGCGCCATATCTTTCCTGATGGTCGATTTCTTCCTCTTCTTCGGCGTAGCTGTTCTAACCGTCGTCCAAGCTTCTCAGGTGAAGTTTTCGCTTCTCTTATCTCGTGCGGGACATTCTCGGTCTGTATAAGGGTTAAACCACGGTCTGTTGCTTATGTCTCATGATATTCTTCTCCACCACAGATATCCCGCAACATAACAACCAACGAGATGGCAAACACAATGCGGTACAGCTACCTGAGAGGCCCTACTGGTCGGTTCAGGAACCCATACGACCATGGATGCAGAAAGAACTGCGTGGATTTCTTGATCTCGGGGTACAACACGGACGTGGAGTTCGTCGAAGACTCGTTCCAAGAAGGGATCGGTATGATGCACATGTCTCGACACAACACGACCACCCTCCAGAATGGCGACGCCCCCCAGATCCCACATCACGCTAATGGCAACAGCAGCGGGCATATCGCTATCAACGTGAACAACCGGGAGAGCAAACCAGTCCACCACCAAGGTGTTCAGCAGCACCATGTTCATTCGTCGAACTGCAGCCATAGTAGTAGTAGTAGTAGTAGCAGCAGCAGCCAGGGGAAATCTAAGACGGAGAAAGTGCCGTTGGGTTTAGGTCTCGGTCTCGGTCTCGGTCGGAACGGTAGCCGTAGCGTGGCAGGTCCCTGATGATCACTTACTTCTTACAGTTTGCATCCATTGTCTGGTGGGTTTTTTTTATTACTTTAGATTTCTCTGTTGAGTGGATGCAGATTTGTCTGTACCATAGAGAAAAAGGGGAACGCCTCTGGTGTTTCAGCTGTGTTCTTACAATTCAATTGGTTGTTGCTCCCTTTGCTTGTACAGAATTTTTACTTTCAGATATGATGATGAATCGATGGTCACTGTAAGCATTGGCTTTGCCATGATCCACATCATTTCCTGAACCTGAATGAGGCGGCGCGAAGAACCAGTGCCCTGCTGTATCCAGTACCCACCATTACCTAGGTCATGCTATTAAATTCTTGTTGCAGATGCCTATCTGTTAGTTGTACAGGCTTATTAATTATGCTTGGTAGTGTGACAACTACTATACACCAAGCATGAGATTCGTCACTTGTCGCGATCTTCGTAATTACTGCCTATTATTCGGGTTGGATCAGGTCCTTAAGCCTCATTGTTTAAGGAGGTTCTTAAACCATTTTTATTGGCTGATACTAGATTAGGTAGCTAATAGTTAGTAGTTAATAGTTAGTTGGAATAAATAAAATATTATGAAAATATAATGAATAATACTCATTAATAATTCTTTCTCTCTCTCTCCCCTTTATCTTCTCCATAACCCTCTCTCTCCACTACAATTAAAAGGAACTTCGAAATTAATTTAATTAAATATTATTATTTAATATTTAATAAATACGAACTTAATATTTTTTATTCTTTAAAATGAAAATTGAAAATTAAAAATATATGCTCTCTATCACTTAGTGGCAACTTGCAATGCAGTATTAACATTTTGCAATGACATTATCAACATTTATGAAATGAATACCTCATCATTATTAACGACTTCAATATACTTATCAATTTCTTACAATTACACTATTAACAATTTTGGATCAATTGTTACCGTTTTATAGTTTCGTCATCAACGCCTATGAATGAATCATGAAAGTTATGTAACATGGTCATTAACAGTTGAATAACAATATCATTGATTTATAACATCTTTAGTACTAATGATTCGCATTTTCACATCATGTTTATAACTATCTAGTCATGGCCTCTTTCAATGATTTCTAATGACGTTATTAACGTTTTATGATCAATTAATATTGCTTTACATTATCATTCTCAATGATCATAAAGCACAATACTTATTTTCAACATCTTGGATACTTGTGACATAGTGCACTTGTGTGATTCAGTCAAACAAACATTGTCAAGCAAAATATTAGCTCAAGCAAACCAACATTCACGCCTCAACACCAAACTTTTAATAACAATACAATAAATCATTGATAACTAAAAGTATTTCGTTGAAAATAAACACAAAACATCAACTTAAAAATGTCCGACTTCAACATTATAAATGACATCAAGCTTTTAATAAATATATTAAAAACCATTAATAACGAATGATCAAGTCACTGACAAAGAAATAGATTTTTGTTATAAAAAATATTAATAATATTCAGATACAATGTTTAATGTCAAATAGCACTAAAAACGCATTAATAAGTTACAGTGTGTTTAATGGATAATGCATCCAAATTTTTTTATAAAGATAGCAACTAAAGATTGTTAAGTACCTTACTATAAATTATTAATATCTTATTTTTTTCAAACATTGATAATGATTATACACACCTATTAATAATGACACCAACTACGTTACTAACTTAGACTGAAAGATTAATAATCATAGTTATATCATTAAACGTAAATTCACTTTTGCTAATGTCATAAACAAACGAATACCTAACAAGTATGCTTCTTGATAATGACATTTGACAAAGTTACAAACATAAACGAAAAATAATAATAATTCAAATCACTAAACATAAGCAATGTTACAAATGAAATAAATTTTTGCTAATGGTTGTATTGTGCTTGGAAAAAAACATTGATAATAGCACTTCAAATGATTATAAATCATTGCGAACCAAATTGATAATACGATGTAATAGTAAATAAACTTCAAGTACCAACAAATTGAAAACACAATTTCACTTTTACTAATGTTATCAACAAAACATAACATAAAAAGTTAATAATGTCATATAAAATTATTAAAAAATAAGTCGAACAACATTAATAATAACACAAACGAATACCTAACAACGAAAATCCTAAACCCATGCAACGAAAAGCCCTAATGATGATTCAATAATAAATATTGATAATGTCATTACAAAATGTTAACACTAATCGGAAGTTGCCAAGATGTGAGAGAGGCATATGTTTTAAATTTCAAATTTCCATTTTAGAAAAAGGAAATGATAAAATTTGGATATTATTAAATATTAAACAATATCAAATAAAATTAATTTCATATTTCTTTTTAATTATAATGTAGAGAGAGGGTTATGGAGAAAATCATGGGAGGAGAGAGAAAGAGAATCATTAATTAATTATATATTAATTATATTTGCATAACCCCATTTACTCTTAACTACCTATTAACTACTAACCCTATTAACTATCTAATACACTATCAGCCAATAGGAAGGCTTTAAGATTCTCCTTAAGAAATGAGGCTTAAGGACTTGAACTCAAGCCCTATTTCTGTTGTTCTTTTCACGTCGTGAATGTGTTTTTTGGTTTGTATACTTGATCGACGTATTATTCTAACCGTCGTATGTAGGTTGGAACTTTGAATTCAGGGAATAACTGAATTTGATCAAATGAATGAATCGAATTCAATTCACACACGGTACAGCTCAAATCTCAACTGCCGCCATTTGAGGCAAGCGAGATCCCAATTCCAAATCAAAAAGATTAATTTTTTTTCCCGTCCTAGTAAACCTGAATATTAATTCGAATTGATTGCTACATAGTACAATTTCGATCGATCAATCAGCAATGCTAGAAAAACTATCTACACGGTTCGCTATTCTATTTTGCCGAATCATCGAATGAGCCATAACACGGCGCTGCTGCGTTTAGCGTCTCGCTTCATATGCTGGCACAATCTCCTAATTCAACAAGTGTTTACACCATAAAATTTATCTTGTACCACATTGATGAGTTACAAGATAATTAATGAGTTTATAAGGCCACACCCATTATAACAATTAATGTTGTTTAAGTTGGGTCTTATAGATATTGATTTTAAGCCCAAACCACTCAGTCTGGAGAGGGCCATGTCCGTCTAAAATCTAGAGGCACATGCCGCCATAACGAAGAGGGCCATGTCCATCTAGAAATTGAGGAGCACATGCCACCCCGCGACCAGTACCGAATGACTGAAAAATAAACTAGGGGTCGTTTGGAAGTTGCGATAGTTTTGTTGAGATTGTCATTATGCATGTATTGTTTACAATGCATCATTTTTTTTTTTTTGTTTTTTTAGCAGAAACAATACATGGATTGTTTCTGTGATGTGACAGAAACTATCACTCATTTTGAGTGATTGTTATATCTCAACTTTTCGTTGTGATTGTTGAGATAGTTGAGTTGAGATTGTTTTTGTCTCAGCTTTTAGCTGATGCGACATACACAATCACACATATCAAACGTTGTATTCTACAATGCATCAAATTCGACAATACATGTATAATATTATACATGCATTCTCAACAATACATCTATTTAACAATCGCAACTTCCAAACGACCCCTAAGTTTGGAAGAGGTACATGCTCCTTCAAGGAGAAGCATGTGCCACTTCAACGAGAGGTCCATGCCTCACGAGAAGGGTCACAGTCTCACAGACATGACTGAGAAGTCCATGGCCGCGAATGAGGAGGCGAATGATCCAAAATATACTAAGTCTGAGAAGGTCATGCCACCTCATGAGAAGGGTCATGTGCATGATTAAGAGGTCCATGGCCGTGCCATGTGATGGCCATCGACGCGAAGCAAGAAGCATTAGAAATATGATTGAAAATACTAGCATGGCACGAGATTCAGAACAAGATCAGGCGAGGCAAGCTACACTCCAAAACCCACGACGGTTCCAAGAGAGGCACCTAGGCGGTTGAAGGAGTAACCACCACTCCGAGGAAGCAGGGAGCGGTTCTTTTTTGGAGTTATCCAAGAGGCGGTTTTCTACCGAAGAAGGAGGAGCGATTTTTGTAGCAGTTATCCAACAAGCGGTTTTCTATGGCGGTTACCTCCTCGGGGCTATAAATAAGAGGAGGGGTCAACATAGACAAGGTTCCCAAAACCACACAACTGACACACATGTCAAGTTTATCCTTTACCTTTTCTTTATCATGTAGCCATAGATGTAGTTCATAGTTTGGAGCTCTCGTCGAACCTCCATAGGAGTAGAAGTAATTAAATTTAGATCTCGTTCCTAGAAACTATCAATCAAACACTCTCGTTCGAACTTTGTTTGAAGAGGTGTGAGTCGTGTCTTAGTAATCGTTGCCCAAATAAGTCAAAGGTGCATTAATCTCATTTCAACGCAAGTTTTCTCCCAGGAAAACAACAAGCTTGAAGGGTCCTCTGAATAATGTCCATCTATCCTATAGTCAAAGATTCAAACATACTGACTTTTTAATGTTCTATGTCGTGTTTATTTATTTTGGTGCGGAAGAAATCTCTCCCACGAAAAAATTAATATTTTTGTTATGATAATGATGGAGAGTTATTAAACAAAGGGCCACCACATCATTAAATTTATCAATACCAATGATAGAATACTAAAAAAAATATAATTACTTTGCTTACCAAAAACAGAAAAATTACTTATTAATTAGAGATGGTAATAGGTGGAGGCATGTGGGAATTCAATACCCATACTATTACTATGGTGCGGGTACGAAACTAGATCGGACGACCTATCTTTATATGTTATTTGAGGAAAATAACATCAATATTTACATCTTTTATAAGAAGACAGAGAAAACATTTCAATTTCATAAATGAAACGTAGATATAGTATAAGGAATAATTAAGTCTACACAGCTGAATGCTAGAGTTAAAAATTCGTTGGAAAGAAGATATGATTTTATAAAAATCAAAATAAAAGAAATACAAGTATCTATTGATGCAAATCGTTATAGAACATATCAAGAACGAAATGAAAACGGGACGCACAAGTTGAAAATAGTATTGGTATCGGGCCGCAATACTATAATAAAAACCAAGATCTCTTTCGATATTCTCAATTTATAATACATAGTGATCATACTGCATCACGTTACTACAAATCGAGTAATATTTGCCCCCAAATAAATTTGTACAGTTCATGTAAGAAAATTGCTATCATTAAATATGATTAAGCCTTCAAAATATGAGTTTGATTCAGCGGTGTGGCCCAAATGGACTAAGACTTTCTCGTCTGTCTCCCGCTCTCTGAGTTTTTGTTTTCTAATGCTCTGTTTCTGGTCAGAGCGTGATTCTCTGGTGCAGAGCCAGCCCACATAAGATGAAGTAGACGAGCTTCAGGGCAGCAGCAAAAGAAAAGAAACAGGGGAGAAGAAGGAGGAGAAGAAATATGGGTGTTTCTCCTGCTAGCAGTAGTAGTTCATCGTCATGGACGTCTTCTTTGACCTGCCGCCCCGGCGGCTCGCCGGAGGTTGACTTCTCCTCCTCTCCAACGACGGCGCTCCAATGGCTGAGATTCATTCTCCTCTCTCCATGCCCGCAGCGGCTCATGCTGTCTTCCCTCAACATCCTCTTCTTGCTCCTCCTCTCCGTCTTCGCCCTCCACAAGCTATTCTCTACTCTCCTCTCTTCACGCCGCCGGTGTCAAGTCAACGGCGGCATCTCCGACTCCGACGTCGACAAGCCCCTCATACCACCACCGTCCTCTGTTCCGGATGTAGTCACCACCGACATTTGGTTCAAAATCGCACTCGCCGCCACCGCACTCTCCGCCGCTTGCTCCGTTGTCCCCTGCATTCTCGCCTTCACCGCCTCCTCGCCGCCGGGAGGCTGGAAGCTGCTCAACGGGCTGTGCTGGTTGACGCAGGCGATTACCCATCTCGTCGTCGCCGTGCTGATCGTCCACGAGCGGAGGTTCCGAGCTCTCCGCCACCCTCTCTCCCTCCGAATCTACTGGGTTTTCAATTTCATCGTCGCTGCTCTGTTTTCGTCATCGGCGATTCTCCGCTTCGCTGCCGGCGACGGCGATGACCATTCCACCTTAATTGCAGACGACGTCGTTTCAATAATCAATTCCGTCGTCTCCGTTGCCCTCCTCGCCGTCGCCGTAAGAGGTTACACTGGGGTGGGAGTTGAATCAGGAATCAAATTAGAAAACCCCCTTTTGGAAGAAGAAGGGGATTCGTTAGATAGCGCTTTTGCTTCAGCCTCCATAATCTCCAAGGCGTTCTGGTTTTGGATGAACCCACTTTTGGGGAAAGGCTACAAAACCCCATTGAAGCTCGAAGACGTCCCCAGCCTCGCCCCACACGACAGAGCCGCCACCATCTCCAATCTCTGGGACGCCTCCTGGCCGACGGAGAAGAAATGCCAGAACCCAGTTCGCACCACCATCCTCCGCATGTTCTGGAAGGAAATCGCCTTCACGGCCTTCCTCGCCATAGTCCGCCTCTGCGTCACCTACGTCGGCCCGATTCTGATTCAGGATTTCGTCGACTACACGAGCGGGAAGAGAACCTCGCCTTACGAGGGTTACTACCTGATCCTCACCTTGCTCACAGCCAAATTCCTCGAGGTATTGAGCTCCCACCAGTTCACTTTCAATACCCAGAAGCTCGGGATGCGGATTCGCTCCTCTTTGATTACAGCTCTGTATAGAAAGGGGCTGCGATTGTCCTGTTCTGCTCGTCAGGCTCATGGAGTAGGGCAGATTGTGAATTACATGGCTGTGGATGCCCAGCAGTTATCTGACATGATGCTGCAGCTCCATGCGATTTGGCTGATGCCTTTCCAAGTTGGGGCGGCGTTGGTGCTTCTGTACCGAGCCCTTGGAGCTTCCACTCTCACCGCATTCGTTGGGATCGTCGCGGTGCTCTTGTTTGTGTTTTTTGGCACCAGGAAGAACAATAGGTTTCAGTTCAATTTGATGGTTAACCGGGATTCGAGGATGAAGGCCACCAACGAGATGTTGAACTACATGAGGGTGATCAAGTTTCAGGCATGGGAGGAGCATTTCCTGAAGAGGATCCAAGGTTTTCGGGACTCGGAGTATGAGTGGCTTTCCAAGTTCTTGTACTCCATTGCTGAGAATATACTTGTCATGTGGTGTACTCCTCTGCTGATTTCGACTGCTACTTTTGGCACTGCGATTCTGCTGGGCGTGCCGCTGACTGCTGGCACGGTTTTCACCACTACTTCGATCTTCAAGATTCTTCAGGAACCCATCAGGACTTTCCCGCAGTCGATGATCTCGATCTCGCAGGCTATGATATCGCTCGGGAGGTTGGATAAGTACATGCTCAGCAAGGAACTGGTGGAGGAGAGTGTGGAGAGAGGAGAAGGATGTGATGGTGGAGTGGCTGTGGAGATTCAGGAAGGTGTGTTCAGTTGGGATGATGAAGCTGAGGAACCGATTCTGAGAGATATCAATGTGAAGATCCGGAAAGGGGAGCTTAGTGCAATTGTTGGAACTGTTGGGTCTGGCAAGTCCTCTCTGCTTGGTTCTGTTCTCGGTGAGATGCACAAGATTTCTGGCAAGGTATGATATTAACCAAACTGCAGCCAACCCATCAGTGAAGAAATTGTTCTCCTCTTTTTATAACAACAAAAACTTCATCTTCTGCTGCTTTCTTGTTGAATAGGTGAGGGTGTGCGGGTCAACAGCGTATGTGGCTCAAACTTCATGGATTCAGAATGGAACTATCGAAGAGAACATTCTGTTCGGTCTGACAATGGACAGGAGTAGGTACAATGAGGTGGTGAGAGTGTGTTGCTTGGAGAAGGACTTGGAAATGATGGAGTTTGGAGATCAGACCGAGATTGGGGAGAGAGGGATTAACCTTAGTGGTGGACAGAAGCAGCGGATTCAGCTCGCCAGGGCTGTTTATCAGGATTGCGACATCTATCTGCTTGATGATGTTTTCAGTGCTGTGGATGCTCATACTGGCACTGACATATTCAAGGTAAGGAAACCATTAAAAATGGAAGGAAAGAAAGTAAGACAGAAATGATTCTGAAAACTTTTTAATCAAACAACTCTGCTGGACTTGTGCAGGAATGCGTGCGAGGAGCATTGAAAGGCAAAACCATCTTGCTGGTGACCCACCAAGTAGATTTCTTGCACAATGTTGATCTTATAATGGTGAGCCGAGGTGCAATACCTTTTTTACCTTTTCAGCTGGCTGGTGCTTTGTTTACTAGGCTAGATTTCTCGTTTGTGGTGATAACGTGGTGTCTCATTCTCAGGTGATGAGAGATGGGAAGATTGTGCAATCTGGGAAGTACGACGAGCTGCTGGGATTAGGGACGGATTTTGAGACGCTGGTAGCTGCTCATGACACTGCCATGGAACTCGTGGAAGCTGGTAACAATAACTCACATGGTAGTGAAGAAAATGGCCCCAAATCGCCAGGGGGAGCCCCTTTCAGCCCTGGAAGAGAAGCAGCAAACAGCAGCAGTGACAACAAGGTATCGTCATCAGAACCACCCAAATCAGAGCAAGGAACTTCCAAGCTGATTGAAGAAGAGGCTCGTGAGACTGGCCAGGTTGGGCTGAACGTTTATAAGCAGTACGTCACAGAGGCATTTGGATGGTGGGGTGTTGCAGCTGCGGTGGCGTTGTCCTTGGTCTGGCAAGGGTCTCTGATGGCCGGAGATTACTGGTTGGCCTATGAGACTTCCGCTGACAGAGCTACAGCAGCCAACCCGACCATCTTCATTTCGGTGTATGCAATAATCGCGGTGATATCAGTGGTTCTGTTGGGATCCAGGTCATACTTTGTGACTCTGATGGGACTGAAGACCTCTCAAATTTTCTTCAATGGTATCCTTAACAGCATCCTGAGGGCTCCAATGTCGTTCTTCGATACCACGCCATCAGGACGAATTCTGAGCCGGGTAAGGAACAATAAACATTTCTTTCCTGTCCTTTCCTTGGTATGTGTTTGTTTCTAAACAATGCCTTAATTATGTGCAGGCTTCAACTGATCAATCGAACATCGATATCTTCCTTCCATTTGTATTGTCACTCACATTGGCCATGTACATCACAGTGCTCAGCATCTTAATTGTGATTTGCCAAAACGCTTGGCCAACTGTGTTCTTGTTGATCCCTCTTGGCTGGCTCAATGTTTGGTACAGGGTAATTTGATTCACTCCCATTCCTTCACCATCTTAATTTTTTTCTTCTAATGACAGATTGTTGCCTAGTTAACTAGTTCACTTTTTCTCTCTTTCCCACTGACAGGGCTACTTTCTGGCAACGTCTCGAGAACTTACGCGACTTGATTCGATCACAAAAGCCCCAGTCATCCATCATTTCTCAGAAAGCATAGCCGGGGTAATGACTATCCGGTCTTTCAGAAAGGGAATCAGGTTCTGTCAGGAGAATGTCCGGAAAGTGGATTCCAATTTGAGGATGGACTTCCACAACAACGGCTCCAACGAGTGGTTGGGATTCCGGCTGGAGCTTATCGGCTGCTTCATCCTATGCTCTTCTGCCATCCTCTTGATCGTCTTGCCTAGCAGCATCGTCAATCCAGGTAAAATTACACAGACAGGAACGTTAACATTACTGGTGTAGACATAAACAAAACTTAAACATTACTGTTCTTATTATGCAGCCAACGTTGGATTGACGCTGTCGTATGGGCTATCCCTGAATGCGGTGCTGTACTTCGCGATATACACGAGCTGCTTCGTGGAGAACAGGATGGTTTCGGTGGAGAGGGTGAAGCAGTTCACCAACATCCAGTCTGAGGCAGCCTGGAGGATCAAAGACCGCCAGGCGCCTCCCAACTGGCCTGCTGAAGGCAGAGTCGACCTTCGCGGGCTGCAGGTCAGGTACAGGCCCAACACTCCCTTGGTGATCAAAGGGATCACCCTCAGCATTAACGGCGGGGAGAAGGTTGGCATTGTGGGGCGAACTGGGAGCGGGAAATCCACCCTGGTCCAGGTTTTCTTCAGGCTGGTGGAGCCAACTGCTGGCAGGATCGTCATCGACGGGATCGACATCTCCATGCTCGGCCTCCATGATCTCCGGTCCAGATTCGGGATCATCCCTCAGGAACCTGTTCTGTTTGAAGGCACCGTCAGGAGCAATGTGGATCCCATCGGGGACTACTCCGACGATGAGATTTGGAAGGTCTGGCTTGCTTTGCTTTTGCTTTTGGAAAAAGAAAGCTAAGATTGTTTCTGTTAGTGTGCGGTATAAGATCCATTATCGAATCCTCCTGCAGAGTCTGGAGCGCTGCCAACTGAAGGATGTGGTAGCAGCCAAGCCTGAAAAGCTGGACGCTCCTGGTGAGTTGATGCACAGCTTTATAGAGCAGCACACAGTTTTCCTTACCAAAACAATTGCAATGGTTCCTTATAGTTTCTGCCTTTCTGTGTCGTCATGCAGTGATCGACAATGGCGAGAACTGGAGCGTCGGGCAGAGGCAGCTGCTGTGCCTGGGGAGGGTGCTGCTGAAGAAGAGCAGGCTGCTGTTCATGGACGAAGCGACGGCTTCTGTCGATTCCAAGACGGACGCGGTGATACAGAGGATCATAAGGGAGGATTTCGGGTCCTGCACCATAATCAGCATCGCTCACAGGATCCCAACCGTCATGGACTGCGACCGGGTCCTTGTTGTCGATGCTGGTCAGCTCCAATTCTCTTCTTCCACGTTCCAAGCTAAACTAATGATGTATCTGTCTGTGTTCCTGAACTTGATGCATGGTTTTGTTTTTCTTTTCTGTACATGAACAGGACTGGCCAAGGAATTCGATAAGCCGTCGAACCTGCTGGAGCGGCCGTCGCTGTTTGCTGCATTGGTGCAGGAGTATGCTAATCGATCGGCTGGATTATAATCGACTTCGTCGTCGTCGTCATGCAAACACACAACGAAATTTCTGCATTTGTCGACTGTTTTCGACCCTTTTGCCTGTAGTCTTCTGTTAAAGGCTGCAAATTTAACCGAGTTCAATCCTGTCAGAGAAAGCTTGTGTATGATTGGTTGGGAGTTTGGGGATTAATTCCCTAAATACACATTAAACTAAACCAAATTCCTAAACTACCACACTTAAAAAAAAAATTCCCAAAATACCTAAGTTTGGAGTGGTTCGAGTTTGAGGAACTCGAACTACTAACCGGTTCGAGTGTAGAAGACTCGATCTACACGTAAATCGATGATATAAGCCTCGAACCATGTGGGGCTGAAGTGGTTCGAGTTCAGTGAACTCGAACTACTTTGAAATTTCCAATCACCATAACTTTGTCCTCGGTTATCCGATCGTAGCAAACTTTTTTTTCATTTCGCATAACTTTTCGAGGACTACAACTTTTATAATAGAAATATTTTCAGAATATATGTGAAAATGTGAAAATTAAAGTTAAAGTTACTCTCAAAACCCCTTATATTAAAAACTATTCCTATTTTGAAAATTTATTCCTAGTAAATGTTGTAGTACTCAAAAAATTATGCAAAATAAAAAAAAACTTTGAGACGTTTGGATTGCGGAGCACAAAGTTATGATCCTCCAAAGTTTGACAAATTTGAAAAATTGCTCGTTTAATTTATGGGTAGCAAATGACGTTTTCTAAGATAGCCATCCAAAAATGTCTTGTTTGTAAAAATATTGCTCTTTTGGCAGAAATTTCCTATATATAAAAAAATTTCCCGTGCCTTCGCCCTGAGAAAATGTCATTTGTTACCCCTAAACGAGCAATTTTTCGATTTTGCCAAACTTTAGAGGATCATAACTTTGTGCTCCGTAATCCAAACGTTGCAATGTTTTTTTTTTATTTTGCATAATTTTTTGAGTACTACAACATTTACTAGGAATAAATTTTCAAAATAGGAATAGTTTCTAATATAAGGGGTTTTGCGAGTAACTTTAACTTTAATTTTCACATTTTCACATATATTCTGAAAATATTTCTATTATAAAAGTTGTAGTCCTCGAAAAGTTATGCGAAATGAAAAAAAAGTTTGCTACGATCGGATAACCGAGGACAAAGTTATGGTGATTGGAAATTTCAAAGTAGTGGTTCGAGTTCAGCCCCACATGGTTCGAGGCTTATATCATCGATTTACGTGTAGATCGAGTCTTCTACACTCGAACCGGTTTGTAGTTCGAGTTCCTCAAACTCGAACCACTCCAAACTTAGGTATTTTGGGAATTTTTTTTTAAGTGTGGTAGTTTAGGAATTTGGTTTAGTTTAATGTGTATTTAGGGAATTAATCCGGAGTTTGGTCAGAACTCAGAAGGGCCTTCTCTTCTGCTCCCATCACCTCCATTATTGTAGCTGTAACAATAATCTCCCCGGCTTCGGCCCAAATGTGACCGCAGAAGCAAGGTGGAAATGAGTTCCTATAGACCTATACTTGGTTCATCGGTAGTTGTTAGCTGAAGCCAAAGCAATCATGGTCGCTTTTGTTTGTATTCCACGAAAGACAACCCTTTCACACATGAATTTGATACAAGTATCGGCCAGTAAATGTTACAAGATTCATTATTGCTGCACATCTCTCAACAATTCGGATTACGAAGAATAAACAATTTCGTAACATGATATCAAAACTTTCGATAACCAAAATGTCTTTTGGGTTCGTGTTGATACAACGTGATGTCAAATTATCTTTTGTCGATCAGCCAATGAAGCTCCCCCATTAAAATAACCAGCCAAAGATCCTCTGCTTTCTGCCTCTTTGTCCTGTGTGGTCGTTGTGAGTTTGGCCGGAGCTCGTGCTGGTCATGTCACGTGGCGCCACCACTAGTACTCCCGTTCGGTCGTCGTTCTGTCGTCCCTGTCGCTGTTGTCCTGGTCTGGGAAAAGCAAAGGAAATGAAGAAACGGCGAGTCTCTGTCATATTCGGCGAGCTCTGTTGTTTTCTCATTGTATTTTATCCTTTGGTTCACGACCAGCCGAAAGCTGTCACTGTAGTTAGATTTGATTACGGAAAAGCTTTGTCTGTGGTGATAGTGAGGCTTTTTGGTGTCGGGTAGCAGCTGAGAGTAGCTGAGTCAACCATTTGGTTCCATTGTTGGAAGAAGACAAACAGGGGAGAGAGAGGCAGAGGACGGAATCGTTTTGGTGTTGTCTTCTTCCTACTTTGATCAACAAATGGAAATGACTCCACCAACCAAGAAGAAAAACCAGATGAAAATGATGGCTCCTTTTTTATTCTTTTTTTCCCCCCTTCTCTTGTGAGGGTAGAAGACATCTCCAAGATCAAATAACAATAGGTCAAGTAAGTACCACTATTGTGAATTGTCAATTGGATTGTAGTTGTGAATTTTGTGTATTGAATTGAGTGGATCTGAGCGGTAATTAATTCTTGGATTATTGGAAAACAAATTGCAATAATGTTGACGTTGTTAGCATAGCTAGGAGAAATTCGTTTAATACTGGCATATGTATCGTATGTGTTTAGAAGTGATATTCTCGTATTATTGTAGAAGTTGCCCCCTTATAACTAATGTCGAACTTTTTAAAAATGTATTGTTATGTCAAAATGGTATGTAAAACTCCGTATGCATTAACATCATGACGTACACACACCGTAATTTATCAATTCATGTAGTTAAACATATATAATGCCTTTAATGATCACGAGACTCGGTAATGGAAGCAATAAATCAACAAATGTGTCGCGTACTGCAACCAAAAAAGGATGATAACGGGTCGAATCAAGAATATGTATAGTGCTGACCATCCATTACACGTACCCTAACTAGTTCGGGTTTTGTTCATATTCATATTCGGGCAAGATTCGAGTAGAGAATCAAACCATGTCCATACCCAATTGAGTTTTGCATATCCATAGATATCTATGGATAATATTTTTTAATTAATCTTCTCAAATATGTGTTAATAATCATAAATATATTATTAACATACATAAGTGAACAAATTATAAATAATAAATCACGATAAATAGTAAAAGAAGGAATGTTAGTCCATGAGATGCTATAAATATACTAGGAATAGCAAATATCTTAAAATAAAAATGAAAATTTATACAAAATGTTGAATACATGTATAATCAGACAAGTTTGGATTGAATAGTAAGAGAATCATATTTATCTATTATCCGTACTATTTGGGTTTACAATTATGACATACCACGGTATTTGATTTTCCATTGAATTTTGACCCACCCAATCGTATCGGATTCGTGCCAGCCTAGTTATTCTGCTAACTTGAAAATTCGTTAGTATATACTAATTAATATCCAAAATGTATGAACTAGTATCCAAGTTTGCTGAGTATCTAGATAGCACAGACTAGTATTCTAAACATCACAAACTAGTATCCAGATAGCATATACCAACTAATATCCACAATCAACCAACTAGTATTTAATATGGATACTCTTATGTGTTATCTGGATACTCTTATGTGTTATCTGGATACTAATTATGTGTTGTATGGATACTATTCTGTGTTGTCTAGATATTAGTTTGTGAATTTGGGATAATAGTTGATTCATGGTGAATATCAGTTAGCAAACTTTGAATACTAGTCTGTGCTCTCTAGATATTTTAGTACTTGGATACTAGTTCATGTATTTTGGATATCAGTTAGTATCTGCTAACGAATTTTCAAGTTAGCAAATTAACTTTTCCCGATTCGTGCGGGTATTAAGAATTATAGGTACTTTTGCCTTCATGCAGCCAAAGAGCCCATGTACGTTACCAGGTTAACTAAAAGAAGTAGCAGATAGACCGGAGCCCGTCCATTTCTAACACGAATTGACGAAGGCCTAAAAGCCCAATTAAGGAACCAAAATTAGAAATGGAAGCCCAAGTATTGGGCTATTGGACGAAAAGGTGAAGAAGGCTTCTCGGTTTTAAAGCCTTCAAATTTTCGTCTCACGACAGGAGACGGGAATTGGGCTCATGGGCTGTAATTCAATCCTCCATGCACGACGCCGCCATATCATATACGAACCAAGAGAGAGATGGGTGTTAGAACAGAAGCGTGACAATCGATAATCCAAACAATATAAGCAAACACAAATTTAACATGGTGTACTAACACAATCTGTGCTAGCTAATCCACGGGTAAGGGAGAACAAATTTCACTGATTTTGAGGAGAGTACATGTTACAAACCAAATTCCAAACGGACAAACCAAGCAAACTAACCTGACTGACCTTACTACAGATTAAGGTGGTGAAGAGTATTTATAGAACTCTTCTCCTAATCCCAAACAGAAAACCAAACACATTTTCCAAACATACAAGGAAAAGGTCAAACAAAGGTCAAACACAAATCCAAACAAAATAAGCCCAAAACACCAAACAAACCCAAATCAAATTCAAGTCATATCCTAACAATGGGAACGCCGGCTGGATGTGTTGCTCGACAAAGGGCTCGCGCCGGCTGGATGGTGGAGACAGTGCTGACGGCGACGGGGGAGCTTGGCCGGGTTATATTACGGTGGAGATCACTTCATCATGCATGAGTCTACGTAAAGGAACTCATGCATAAATAATGGTCGAATTGAAGGAGGTTGTGGACGTATCCTAATAAAGCTGGAATCTCCTAGGATGACGGGTTTAGAACGAGAAAACGGACACAAGTGGAGAAATGAAGATTCACGAGTGCTTGCGTAGCCATTAAACCAAGCCAAATATAAATTAGGAGAAAGGGGATTACGTATTATATATGATCTTTTCTGGTCATCTATAATCGTCTCTCTCTACACATTGAGTTATTTTGACTAAATAGTTTTGAAAATTTGATCATGGGAGGGTACTTCTGTGGCAGCGGGGATTAAGAATGATCGTCGTCTTAACTGGCTTTATTGGGATGGAGAAATATGGATTGAGACATGTCCAGAGAAGAATTTTGAATATGTTTTTGAAGAACGATGATAAGGTTAATAAAGACGATATATTCGTCCAGTCAAGAGTCCAGAGCCCAGAAGAATGACTTTTAAATCTCCAAATGTTAATTCAAGTTTAGTCGACCTGAAAAAATGAGGCGTGTGTTAATTCAATAAAGACTAGATTGAATTAATACACAATTAATTAAGCTTCCTTATTAATGATACCACCAAGCTATAGATGTCATGTAACAGAAAAAGTCTAATTATATCCGTCAGAAATAAAAAACCGATAGAGAGTCTCAATATGAGTGTGATTCAACAGTTTCACACTGCGATTACGATGCTAACGAATTATTGAGATGTGTGTTGATCGATTGTTGGACACTTATAGAGTTACAGTTGAAAGATATAAATTTGGGAGAATGAATTCGTGTTTTGTATTGATATCAATGAGCTGAATATATACAGT